GGCGTTTTGCCGCCACTCGCTCATGGAATGACAGTATGCCCAATATTGTAAATAGATTACGTAGTTTTTTGACGAAAATCCATAAAATGTTTCTGATTATTCGCACTTCATATAAATAGTCAAATTTGTACAAATTGACTCACTTTATCTAGAACACCCGAAAGAATTGCTTACTACTATGAAATTTATAAAACAATCTGAAACGTTGCAATTGGATAGAATTTGTTCAGATACTGAGACAGTTATTTCTCGACATGGAAACTTGCTTCCTGATTCAGTTCGGTGTTTAGTTTGCGGTCCATCAAACTGTGGAAAAACAAATTTAATAATAGGTCTTCTGTTGCATGAAAATGGATTACATTTTAAGAATGTATATTTATACTCAAAAAGACTGTATCAAACTAAGTACATTTATTTAGAGAACGTCTTTAAATTGCTGCCTAGTGTTACGTTTGCAAAATACAGTGATAATGAATTGATTCTCAGTCCACATGATGCTAAGCCCCATTCTGTAATATTTTTTGATGATGTTGCTTGTGAGAATCAAACTAATATGCGAGATTATTTCGCTATGGGCAGACATAAATTTATTGATTGTTTTTACTTAAACCAAAAATATAGTAAAATACCAAAACAACTAGTAAGAGACAATGCAAACCTTATAATATTATTCAAACAAGACGATATAAATTTACGACATGTATATGATGAACATGTGAATACAGATATGTCGTGGTCAGAATGTGTTCAAAAATTTGGAAAGATACATACAACTTTTTAGTCATTAATAAAGATTGTGCAAAAAATGACGGTTGCTACAGAATGAACTTCGACACCTTCGTTACTTTCGATGAGTAACCAAATAAAGTTACTTTCAATCTAGAACACAATTCATTTAAGAAGTAAAGCTATAAGATACAACACATTGCATAATTCAAGCTACTGTTCTTTCAAAATGGAAATGGAATTAAAAGCTGAGGTTGTTCGAGCTGCAGAAGGTGTTAAAAAGAAGCTGAAGGAAATGCGTATGAGGGAATCTTATCAAGAAAACATGTTAAATACAGTTTTTCAACCCATCACTAAACCACTTCATCAAATAATTCATCATAACACAAATCCTTCAAAATCTAACAAATCTAAAGTCCCTGAAGTACCTAAAGATGACAATTTGAATACAGACTCTGAGAATACATATTTTAAACGTAACGATTCCATATCCGAGTCCCATGATAGCGATTCTGATGACAATATTGATGAAAACAGTTTCGATGGTCAAAATAAAAATAATACAAGCGATACATCGTTTGCAACAGTCGAGTCCGTCCACAGTCCTAACCGAGATGCTTTGTCTTGGTCATTATCTTCGGAAGTGTTTGAGGATGTGCCATTTGGTGTCAGAAGAGAACGAGGTAAACTATTGATGGGTAACTCACGTGTGGAAGTTCACGAGGAGAATATATCCGTAGCAGGTCGAGTATACAAGAAAACTCCTGGATTATATGAACTTTTGTTCAAGAGAGTTCCTGAATTAAATTTGGTTACAGAAAAAGATTCGCAAGTATATAAAGCATTGTTGTTAGAAACAAATGCTCATTGAAGAGATTATGATCCAAATAAACCAATAAAAACTAATCGAGGTCGAAAGTATTTGCAAATTATAAAACCGCTGTTTAAGTTACGCAAACCGTCAACATCTTCTGTTTCTTCTAGAACAGAACAATTAAGTGAAGGAGAAGGGTTAAGACTTAAGAAAAAATTTAAGAAATATACTGATTATATTTATTGGGATGATCCTAATGAGTTAGTTGAAAGATTAAAATTACCGATAGCTTCTAAAGAAGCAGGAAATACTGGAGTAGAAAATGAAATAATTTCTATTATTGAAGAATTACGTGAAAACGGAATTATAAAATAGTTGTCATAGTTTGTTGTTTTTTATTTACACACTCTCCCTTGATTGCATCGGATCTCTAATTAATAAAAATGAATATTGATAAATTCGGGCATCATGTCCACAAAAGACTACGTTTGTCTGAACTGTTAGATTTTAGGGAAAACTCTTTAATGAAATCAGAAAGTGGGTGTTTTAATTTACAATCATCTAGAGTAACTGGAGTCAACACACCTTTGGAAAAGGATGACGCTGTCAATAAGCAATACGTAGATGAAAAAATTGCAACCTTGTGCACGAAGCATGAACTGCATGTTTGGATAGAATCAATAAAAGCTGATATCACCAACAAAATTAAACAGTTTGAAGAGAAGTTTAACACTAAGAGCTTGAATGAACAGAATGTAACCAACAGAAAAAATGGTCAAGCTCCAAGTAGTAAAAGAAATCCATAGGTCTGCACGTAAAAACTTTATTCGAAGATCTGTTGTACTAAAAGGCATTAATGATCTATGGCAAGCAGATCTAATTGATTTTAAATCTTTAAAAAAATATAACAGTGGTTACACATATATGTATTTTAATTGTTATTGATTGCTTTAGCAAATATGCATGGGGTATTCCCTTAAAGTCAAAATCGAGAAAATGTGTGGTTAATGCGTTTAAGAGAATTCTCAAAACAAGTGATCAATCTCCTGTTCACTTACAAACTGATATGGGAACAGAATTTTACAATGAATCATTTAAAGAACTAGTGCAGTCACTAAATATAAAGCACTATTCGACTTACTCTACAAAAAAAGCATCTATTGTTGAAAGATTGATAAGAACATTAAAGAACAAATTGCATGTATCTTTTATCTATAACGGTAGTTATAAATGGGTGGGAAAGACTTTAGAAGATGTTTTGAATACTTATAATAATAGCAAGCATAGTGTCACTAAACATAAACCAGTTAATGTAAATTCTATAAATGAAACAAAGGTTAAGAATAACATCGAAAAGTTTTTTAACAGACGAATTAAATCACAAAGGAATAAATTTCAAATAGGTGATTTTGTTAGAATAAGCAAATACAAAAGCAGTTTTGAAAAGGGTTATATACCGAATTGGTCAACAGAATTATTTATTATTAAATCGTTCAATAAAACTGATCCTGTTACATATAATTTACAAGACCAAAGGAGTCAACCAATATTAGGAACGTTTTACCAGGAAGAGTTACAAAAAACTAATCATCCTGATGTTTATTTAATAGAAAAAGTAATTAAAAAGAACGGTAATAAATTGTTCGTTAAATGGTTAGGTCTCCCTAATAGTGAAAACAGTTGGATTGATCGCAGTTCAATCACTATATAATATAAGAGTTAAATAGCATTTTTTGTTATCATTGCATATCCAGATATTCAAGGAGGAGGACTATTCAACAGTATAATTGACAGTTTACCGTTTGAACTACATTTACCAGGATATAACTATTGTGGACCAGGGACCAAGTTAAAAGAAAGATTAGCGAGAGGTGATAAAGGAGTCAATGAATTAGACGAAGCCTGCAAATTTCATGATATTGCGTACATAAACACCGATTCAAACAGTAGACATAAAGCAGACTTAGAACTACTCAGCATGGCTAAGAGACGATTGCATTCGAAAGACGCTGGAAGAGGTGAAAAACTAGCGTCATGGTTAGTTAGTAAAGTTATGAAAGCTAAAGTAAAAAGTGGTTCTGGAGTAAAAAAAATTAAGACAATTGTATCGAAAATTCAATCTCAAATAAAAAAATCAAACCAAAGAGCCATACAGCTGCAATTAAGTATGCATATGAAGCTGTTAAAAAATGCTTTCCCAAAAATTGACATTTTCGTCTACCGCGAATAATACCGATTCCAAAGACAGGAGGAATATTACCTCTGATACCCATTTTTGCGGGATTGTCTGCTCTAGGTGCATTAGCTGGAGGTGCAGCAGGTGTTGCGAAAACGGTAAATGAATACAAAGCTGCACAACAAAATTTAAAAGAATCAGAACGTCACAATAAAACCATGGAAGTTATTGCATTGGGAAAAGGTCTTTACATCAAACCGTATAAAAAAGGCAGTGGTTTATTTATAAGAAGTTCAAAAAACTAATTTCGCAGTTACCCAACAAAGCTTTATTTAATATTGAATTAATGAAATATTCTAGAAATATACCCCATTTTCGAGGAGTTTATATGAAAGATAGATTACCAACTAAGTCAAAACCAATAGAATGTGGAATCGTTAATTTAGATAATCATAATAACAATGGAACGCATTGGGTAGCTTATGCAATAATAAACAGTTATTGTGAATATTTTGATAGTTTTGGTGATTTAAAACCACCAAAAGAGTTATTGAAATATTTCGGTCATCGTGATATTTATTACAATTATAATCGATATCAAAAATATAATAGCGTTAATTGTGGACATTTATGTTTAAAATTTTTGCACAACTTTTGGGATCAAGTTAGTATATATTGACAGACTTGATTTTTATATATACATTTTCACGATGTCTTTCACATTGTCTATAACTGGCAAAAGTTCCATATTAACCACGAACTACTCACCAACTTTAAATCTGAATGGTGATTATGAATGTGCATTATTGCATTTCTCGACTTTTAATTCTATACCGAATATCACTAAAGCTAATAACAAATTTCACTATGGTACTAATGAAGTGGTTGAGATTCCTGAAGGAGCTTATGAACTACAAGATATTTACGATTTTTTAAAGTTTGAAGTAAAAGATTGTGATTTAAAGTTATATTGCAATAACAATACAATACAATAACAATACAATACAATAACAATACAATAAAATAACAATACAATTTTTTCGGCGGTAGGTGTGAAAAAGTAAAGAAGTGTTCCTCAGTATCAAAATTTAATTTAATTAATTTGAGATATTTTACCATCTTAATTTTTAGTTGAATTAGATGCTAGGGTAGTAAATCAGCACTACTTACGTTTGTAGCATCTTAAATGTAATAACACCTTACATTTAACACCACCTGCCAGCACATCAATCACATTTCCATCACTACAGCCTACTTCACTGAGCACTGCAAAATAACATCACTATGTCCCAATTATCTGACATTATCACGGCACAAAAGAGCTTGGAGGATTGTTTTATGAAGAAGATGCAGGACCTGGAAGCTCAAATTCAAAGTGCGGGGCCCAGCAAGGAAACAGTGGCGAAGGTAGCTGAAGAGTTCCGGACCTTCAGAGAGCTTATGTTTGGTATGTTGGGTCTGCTCCGTAAACAAATCACTGAATGTTCCTCTAAAATTGATGCAATCGAAACCAGGCATCGCCGCAAGAATCTCATTTTTATGGGTGTGTCAGAGTCGGGCACTGAAGATTGTAGAGCGGTAATATGTGAGATCCTCAAATCAAAGATGGGCCTCAAAGATGTCAATAAAACCACTTTGACATTGTGTCATAGACTTGGAGCAACCAGTGGCAATGAACATAACAAGCATCGGCCTGTCTTGGTGAAGTTTGAGCGATATGAACTCAGGTCTGCAGTCTGGAAGGCCAAAACGTTGTTGAAGGGCACAAGTATTTCTGTGAAAGAATTTCTTACTAAGCCGAGGCAAATCATCTTCAACAAAGCACGGTTACATTTCGGCGTGCGGTGCTGCTGGACTCAGAAAGGCGCGATACACATAAAGACGTCTGATGGCAAGCGACACAGAGTTGTTGGAAAAGAAGATCTTGACTGTCTGGTTGATATATATCCAAGAGGGTCAACGCCGACTGGTGAGGGTTCATTAACTGCAAAAAACAAGAACAAATTAAACAATCTGTCTTGTGTTCTACCTTAAATCTAGGATAAGGTGAAGTCTTGTAACTTGTACTTACCATTTGTTACACATAAGGTAATAATTATTAGTTTTAAATGTAATCTTTAAATGGTCACTGGGCTTATGCCTAAACAAATGTTTGCAGTATAAGTAAATAGGTAATCAATGCAATTTAGCTTAAGGCTGGCTTTATTTTTCTTACGCAAACTTTACTTCTTCTTCTTCTTTTTTTTTAATTCGTGGCCTATTTGCGTTAACACACTTAAGTTTCATGAAATTAAATATTGTTATCGTGTTGACAATGCAAACTGTCAAACAACTGTATGTTTCGTAGATTGAGACAGGCGAAGGAACTTAGCCATACTGCCATCAAAAAACCAATAACTTATTTTTATTATTTATTTTTTCCTGTTCGGATTCTTTATCCATATTTAATGGCCTGTTCAGATAGTGATTTTTTGCAACTACTGGTTAAGTCTGGTATTTTATTATGTATTGTTTTAATGTTTTAACTTGGATATTTTTGTGTGTATTAACTAATGTAAGCTGGCGGGTGGTGTGGAGCTATAGACGCTTCAGCACTAATATCTGCACAATTAATTTTTATTTTATTATTATTATTTTTACATATTTATATACTATTTTATTTTATCTATTTTTATTTATTATATTTTTATGGCACTTGACGACAACGAATATTTTTCTGCAGATGATGAATCTGCAAATTCATCCAATAATGAAAGTTTTTGCTCTGCAACTGACACTGTTGGTGATTTTCTGGGTCGGACTTTTGATGATTTTTCGGGATTACTGAACTTATGTCACATCAATGCCCAGAGTGTGCCAAGCCACTATAACGAATTGATGGATGTGTTCTCTGGGCATAATATACATGCTGTCCTAATTTCCGAATCATGGTTAAAACCACATCTTCTTTCTTCTTCCTACTCTCTCCCTGATTTTACTCTGATACGCAATGATCGCTGTGCACGGGGTGGAGGTGGTGTTTGTATTTATTTACGTAATTCGTTCTCGTATAAAATAATTGCCTCCTCCGAGTCTGGCTCAATAGCTGAGTATCTCTTTTTGGAGATTGGGATAGGCCGTGAAAAAGCGGCTATTGGAGTTGTTTATTGTCCCCCCTCTGTCGATTATTTCACCCAATTCGAAGCGGTTTTAGAATCTTTGGGATCTGAGTATGCACATCTTGTCATCATGGGCGATTTCAATACCAATCTCCTAATTTCCGAATCCTCACGCTCCCGCAAACTCCTTCAAATCAATAAGTCTGCAAGTCTCCATGTACTGCCCCTCCAACCAACTCACCAAAACATTTCTGGTGACGACTCGTGGCTTGATTTAATCCTTACCTCTAATCCTTCCCTTGTCCCCTTCCCTTCCTTCCTTCCCTCACATGGTCAACATATCGCTCCCGGCTTTTCACGTCATGACCTTATCTTCCTTTCTTATCTCCTTAAACCTCCAAAATCCTCTCCTAAGATCCTGCACAGGCGCTCATTCGCTCGCATTAATGTAGGAAAGCTGCAAGAGGAAGCGTCCGTGATCAACTGGGACCGTTTAATTGAAGCAACTTCCGTTGATGATAAGGTAAAAATATTTAACGATACGTTGATTGGTTTTTATGATGTTCATGCACCCATTAGAAAAGTCAGGCTGAAGCGTCCACCAGCACCTTGGATGACAGAGTGTGTTCGGATGGCGATGAGAAGGAGGGATCGTGCATTTCGTAAGTTTAAAAGAGATCGATCTGAAGAAAACTGGAAGATATTCAAAACAGCTAGAAATCGTTGTAATCAGATGATACGTAACGCTAAGCGTCGCCACATTCTCAACAATATTACCTCTTCATCTTCTGCTGATATCTGGAAGTTTCTCGGAACACTAGGTATTGGTAAATCGCGATGTTTAGACCTTCCTAATTCAATAAACTTAAACGAATTCAATCGTCACTTCAGTACTACTTCAAAGCTTGATCATCAATCGACAGCACGTACTATTAATTTCATAAATGGTTTAACGCGTCCCAAGATTGACCTTTTCCATTTCTCACCAGTCACATCGGCGGAGATCAAAAAGATTATACTCTCTATCAAATCGAATGCAGTGGGTTGTGACGATATCAGTCGTCGCATGATCACCATGGTACTCGACCATCTTCTCCCTGTTATCACGCATATTATTAACTCTTCTCTTGAATCCGGAACTTTCCCTATCCTGTGGCGCAAAAATTTATGTACGCCCCCTTCCCAAAGTTTCAAATCCAACTCAACCCAACCAATTTCGTCCTATTTCAATTCTTCCTTTCATGTCCAAAGTCCTCGAGGCATGTGTTCATAAACAATTTTCACAGTTCGTTCAGAAGAATTCCCTATTGAATCCACTGCAATCGGGATTCAGACCTGGGCATAGCACTGTCTCTGCACTCCTAAAACTGACTGGCGATGTTAGGGCGGCGGTGGAGGACGGTAAAGTTACTTGTCACGTTCTTATTGATTTCTCCAATGCTTTTAATACTGTTAGTCACGACATCCTTCTTTCCATGCTCTCTCATCTTATGGTCTCTGACGATGTTTTAACATGGTTCTCATCTTATCTTCGGGAGCGACAGCAGATAGTCCAGTCTGGCGAGTATACTTCGTCTTGGTGCAATCTGGAAACTGGTGTTCCCCAAGGCGGCATTCTTTCACCTCTTCTTTTTCAATTTTTATTGATTTCGTCACTCACAAACTTCAGTGTTCGTATCATCTGTACGCTGATGACTTACAGTTATACACCGAGGCAAGTATCAATGAATTAGATAATGCTATTGATAGACTTAACAGTGACTTAGCAGCTATAAAAATCTGGTCGAATAATTTTGGTGTCTCTGTTAATCCTTCAAAATGCCAAGCTATAATATTGGGGGGGCAACGAATCATGAAGAAGATGAACTTCAGTAATCATGGCTCCATTATGTATGATGGTAGTTCGATCCCTTTTAGCCCTAGTGTAAAAGATCTTGGATTACATCTTGACTCAAGCTTCAACTGGCAAGCGCAAGTAAGCAGTGTTTGTCAAAAAGTGACTGGAATACTGCGAGCACTTTATCGTCTTAAAAACTTTTTGCCAGTCAATATTAAAGCTATGCTTGTGCAGTCCTTGATATTTCCTATAATCGACTATGGTGATGTGTGCTACCTCGACCTGAATGCAGATCTACTAAATAAACTCGACCGACTTCTAAATAACTGCATTCGATTCGTTTTTAATCTTAGAAAATATGATCATGTGTCCGCATACCGATTTCACTTAAAATGGATGACCATTCGACAGCGTAGAAGTATGCGAGCTCTTACTACTCTATTTTCCTTACTGAACTCTTCGAATGCTCCGTCTTATCTCACGTCGCAATTTCGGTACATATATACCACTCATACCAAAAACCTTCGCTCCTCCTCAAATCTGCGGCTCATGTGTCCATCGCATCACTCCGATACCATCCATTCTTCGTTTTTTGTTAAATCGATTCTGTTGTGGAATGAACTTCCGTTGGATATCAGAATGTCCACCAGCAAAGTTACATTTAAAAACAAGCTGCGTAGCTTTCTATTGGAACAGGCTAATTCGTTACACCGTTAGTCGTCTACATTATATTATATATATATATATATATATATATATATATATATATATATAGATTATATATTATATTAGTATATGTAGTTATGAAAGTATATATGTATTGTTTATGTAAGTTTATGTATTTTGTTATAGGTCTTATTTCCTCTGTTTATATCTCCTGTACAATGTGCACACTACCACCTTTTATCTCCACATCACCCATCTGGTTGACTGGTAGAAAATGCCTAAGGCATTAAGTCCGCCAATGTATTATGTACATGAAGTGTTAAATAAATAAATAAAAGACAACTATATTCTGTACTAAAGATATTCATTTTGAAAAACACGATTCTTTCGGAGAATTGCTGGGTTATAGTAAGGAAGTCCTAAAAAGTCATATATTACATGAGTCACTTCTTCCCGTAAACATTTTATCAACGACTGTGGTGACAGTCGAATGTGATATTATAAGCGGGTCGTATATAAACGGCAAAACGGAGAACGGAAACAAGTCATATATTACATGAGTTTGCACCCACGGTACCTCCGGGTTATAGAATAATAGAAATACCAAAGAATACTATATATTTTCCAGTGAACAGAGATACTATCAATAGTATCACCATAAGAATACTAGATATACAGGAATATTTTTTTTCCAGTGCAAAATTTTTTTTTGGTGGTTCAGTATCAGTAATAGAACACTTTTCCATAATTAGTTAAAAATTTTTTTTTAAATATTTTTATCCCTATCGAAACGGTAGAATATGGACACATTTTTTAAAATAAAACTTCAATGAAAACGTCTTCTCTTGCGTATGCCACCGTGCAACCCCGCCGCGCCCGGTAGCCCCCCGCCACAGCCCCCACCGCCCCGCCGGGACCGAGCGACGCGCGCGACAGTGAGACTCATACGCACGCGCCGATGTGACGTGTCCTCGCGTTCCCGCGCACGCGACGCGCCCGCCGTCGTGAGTTTTACGAGATGTACGAGTTTATCTTTTGAGTGGTGAGAACCTACAAAAGCGCAATTCGGAGAAAGTATGCGACGAAGAGCATACCTCGTATGCGGGCCTTTGGGATCCATAACCCCGCGGTCCCTAATGCTTCGAACCATTTTAACAGACGAAGTCCCAGAGTCAGTACCCACGATGCGGCATATCTCTTTGGTGTGAGCCAGCCTGCGGTATTGAAGCTGCTAAAAACAGCCGGACTCCATCCGTACCACTTTCAGCCGGTTCAGCAGTTCCATGACCTAGACCCAATACCACGTCGAGCCTTATGTGAGTGGCTTCTACATCACCGCGATGTAAACATCTTGTAGACGGATGAGGCATTGTTCACAAGTGAGGGACTGTTTCTTATGGGAAGAAGTCAAACGCCGAGATGTAGAGGAGGCA